CGAGGTCGTGAAATCACAAGTTATTGTGTTGATTCGTTAGAAAATATAATTAATGAACACATCTTTCAACTATTGTAAATGACAAGTCCATATTACAATCGAAATGAGTTCAACATATTGGTTTTTGGGACATGGATGGGCCGTGACAATTTATAATCGTGCTTATAGATAGAGCATTTTTTCTAATATTTTGTTTCTTTTCCAACTCAACGATCTCAAGCATTGGATCCCCTAACTTAAAAAGTTATAAAGGTTGATCGTGTGACAAATAATGATTGAATTGATATAGATTATATGATATCGAGTTGGTGGAATCATAACTCTTTGTATTAATTCGGTAGAAAATATAACTATTGAGTACATCTCTTAATTTTTGTAAGTGGAATGTCCATATTGTAACTAAAATGAGTTCAACTTACAAATTTTCGGAGTTTGGATGAGTTGTGGCTATTTATATTCATGTTAATAGGCTGAACAAAACAAATGTTTTTTAACGGCACTTGTATCGTTCTATTGATTTCTCTAAAATTTTGCTTATTTTTCAATGCAATGAACTCAAGCATTGAATCTCCTAACTTTAAAAAGTGAGATAGGTTGACTATGTGATAAAAGACAATTGAATTCACATAGATTATATGATATCGAGTTTGTGAAATCTCATATCATTGCATTGATTCATTAAAAAATATAAATAATTAACATATCTCTCAAGTTTTGTAAACGGTATATCCATACTGCGACTAAAATGAGTTAAAATTATTGTTTTTGGGGGGTATGGATGGGTTGTGGCCATTTATACTCATGTTTATAGATAGAATGACACAAGTGCCGTTTTGTTGATTTCTTCAATATTTTGCTTATTTTTCAACACAACGATCTTAAACATTGGATTCCTTAACCTTAAAAGTGAGAAAGATTGATCATGTGACAAAGAACTATTGAATTAACATATATTATATGATATTGAATTGGTAGAATCACAAGTCATTTTATTGATTTGTCATAAAATACAACTAATGAGCACATTTCTAAACTTTTATAAACTTCATCTCTGTATTGCAACTGAAATAAGTTCAACTTATTGGTTTTCAGGGTACTTATACTTGTATTTATAGATAGAACAACACAATTGTCATTTTCTTCACAGTAACAACGCTTGTGCCTTTCTCATGGACAATTTTGTATTTTGATAACGTCACTCGTATCATTCTCTTAAAACTTTTGATCTTAGTAACAACACTGATGCTATTCTCAAAGACCTTTTCATTTTTGTAAATGGCACTTGTGTCGCTTTTTCATAACTTTTCATCTCAGTAACAACGGAAGTGTCGTCTTATGGATAAGTATATTTACAAATATAACGACAATTATACCATTCTAATAAATGGCATCTTAGTGATTGTCAAAGTGTCGTAACGACATAATACTGTTCTAATAGACGTTCTCATCTCAATAATAATATAAGTGCCATTCTCATTAACACCTAGCATAACAACAATTATATCGTTTTAATAGAAGTTCTCATTTCAATAATGACACAAGTATGGTTCTATAATCTTCTCTTGTTTTCTTTATTAGCTCTATGACCTTAGTGAATGGACCCCCTAACGTATCTAAAATATAAAAGCTGACCATGAGATAAATGATGGTTGAAATGACATAAATCATATGTTATCGAGTTGATAAAAGCTTAAATTTCGATTAAGTAATGAACATTTCTCTTAAATTTTGTAAATGTCATGTCCATCTTAAAATGCAAATGATTTCAATGAATTGGTTCTCAATGCACATAAAAGTAGTGATGGCGCCCCGCCCCGCCCCGCCCCGCCCCGCCCCAAATAGGGCAAAAAAAACCCGCCCCGTCACTGGGAGTGGGGCGGGGCGTAAATGGTCACCTCGTCGCGGGGCTCAGGTCGGCCCCGTGAAGAAAAAGTTTTTAAAAAAATTAAAATTAATTTTATTTCTAGATAATTCATCCGTCAAAAACTCATTTTAAATTTGTATTTTATTCTCTAATAATAATATAATTCGAAACTTTGAAAATGTAAAAAAAATAAAAAATTTAAACGGGGCAACAAACGGGGCAAAAAGTTGCCCCGTCCCCGCCCCGTGCCCCACCTTGCCCCGTTTAAGGCAAGGCGGGGCGGGGTTTTGGCCAAATGGGGGGTGGGGGTGCCCTGCCCCGTTGCCATCACTACATATAAGACTTGGTTGCTTATATTTGTATTTACAAACATAACGATACACAGTTTGATTTCATCTCAGTAAGGCACTTGTGCCTTTCTATTATTTTCTCTTATATTTTGATTTGTTTTCAACGTAACGACCTTAAGCAATGGGCCACCTAACATATGTAAGGCATAAAATGTAAATGATTTCAACGATTGGTTCTCAAGGCTTGGATAAGATGTGGTTGCTTGCATTTGTATTTACAAACACAATGACACACATGCCATTTTCATCTCAGTAAAGGCACTTGTGCTGTTCTATTATTCTCTCTTATATTTTGATTTGTTTTCAATGTAACGACCTCAAGCAATGGGCCACTTAACAAATGTAAGATATATAGGTTGACCATGTGATAAAGAACGATTAAAATGACATAAATTATAATGGATGCTTATAATTCAGTAACGACATATTGTGCCGTTTTTATGGACATTATCAATTCAATAACAACACTTACATCGTTCTCATGGAAGCTTATAAGTCCAGTAATGTCATTTGTTCCGTTCTCATAGACACTTATTAGTCCAACAACGATACTGGTGCCGTTCTAATGAAAGCTTATAATTCATGTAATGTCAAGTTCTCATGGATGCTTATAAGTACAGTAATAACACTTGTGCCGTTTTCTTGAGGCATAACACCGTAAAGATACACACCAATATTAACTAAACGCAAACATGTACAACAGTAAAAATCCATCTCCTAGAATAAAGTTATCCTACTAATATGCCCATTTTCAAATGTAGCCTACAACTTTTTTTGCATTGTCCAAAACATCAAAATCCTAGAATTCTAATATAAAACTTATATGCCCTAAAACAAAATAATTTTGAAGGGTACTGTAAAATATTAATCCTAAGCTCTAGTCACCCTAGAACCATATCTCCTACCACTATAATTGTTATTATTTCCGCCACCATCACTATACTAATAAGTGCTTTCCCCCACTCCGATTATAAGAGTTATCTCTTCTAAAATCACGGCCACCTATGGAGCTCGACTTGCAAACTGAATCAAACAATTGGTAATTTCTGATTAGTTTCCTGGATCAAATCAGTCCTAGTGACAAATTGTTGTTTGTTATAGAAAATGATAGCCAATCATGTTTTCCTAGCACTACCTGTACGACTAATCCAATGTACATAATCATTAATGTCATTGGAGAGATCAAAGTTTCTTGGACTACAGTAAGTAGATTGAGAAGTCGTTTCGTCCTAGAGAAAAACACCAGCTCATCTTTATCTTAAATGCGTAGGAAAATTTCAACCTCTCCTTATATGTGATAACATAAGCAACATGAATAATATCAAGACCACGAGCTGCCACATCCATCGTAACCAAAATAAGTGTTTTTTTCACTCTTAAACAATCTCAATTGTTTTAATATTATTGACTTTTATCAAAATCTACCAATAATCTAATTTTTAGCAAATCAAATAGCGGCATGTATAGATAAGGATCCACATAGCAACACATGCAAAAATTATGCCAACAACATAAATACTTGGAATTGTATTGCTCCATAATATTGCTATTTCAATAAATTTCATTCAATTTGTAACCATTAGAGCACATTATACATTGCATTTCTGTTTAGAAAATTTTGAAATCAACAAATGTAAAGTTCAATAATAGGATTCAAAGGAAATTACTAAATACAGTAAAGCATAACACAAAGAATTTTACTAGAAAGCTCAAATTGCTTAAAATAAAAGTACCCAGAGTGCAACTCTCTAAATCCCAGTACATATCAAAAAATAGCAAATTTGCAAATCATAATTTTCGTTTATGACAATGCTAATAAATGAATTTCTTTTTAACCTATTATCTTTAAAAATCCAAATGTATCAAAATTCAATCCATATTAAAAAAAAACTCAACTAAAACTAAATCAAATATACAAATAAACTATGAAATCATTAAAAAAATATGCCTATTTACACTTTTTCCATTCTAAACCTACACTAATGAATGAACAAAATCACATTTCAAAATGAAAAAATTGAATGAAAAATTACATTTTTTGTTGTATTAGCTTGTACCAATGAGACGGAAAGTAATGTGAAATGAGCTTGAATAAAAGAAAAAAAGTTTTTTTTTTAATCTTGAAATGTATTGAAAATTAAGGTAAAGAAGACGATGAAAGTATTCAAGTTTGGGGAATAGGGTTTCATAGTGAAAATGAAGAGAAGGAACAAGGTGAATTGAAATAAATTGGTGGAATATTTTGATATAAATTGAAGCGCAACATTGTAATTTCACCAATTAAAATATTTTTAATTTTGTTTTTATGTTGGTCAAAGGCCATAAACTCATTGCCCTACTAGGCTAGTTGACCAAATTTCCCATTAACTAATTGAGATAAATAATTGTCTTTGGTACTGAGTCTAATTGAGTTATGTTTAATATGGAAGTATATATTTAATTAGATTATGTTTAATTTTAATTGAGTTGGATAAAATTTAAATTAATTTACTTTTGAATTTTTTTTTTTTTTAAAGATTTGACGGTTGTCAAATATTGAAACTTAGACCAAACTATCTCGAAATATTTTGATTCGGTTTAAAACCAAAACTTTGACGATTTTGGTTTGATTTGACGATTTCGTTGTTAGCCCTAGCTCATGGGAAATTTTAAGAGTTATAAATACGTAAAAAATGGAAATTCCATACAAATTGAGAATTCTTAACATTGAGAAATTTTAAGAATTATAAGTACGTAAAAATGGAATTTCCATACAAATTGCCCTAAAAACGGGAGAACTGTACCCCCTCCACGCACCCCACTCCGACCCACAAGCCACAACCCTCTTCTCTCTATTTTCATCTTTCCCTTTCGTGTATTTAAAATTCCAATAGCAAAGTGGCAAGAGCTGGAAGTTTCTCTACTATTCTTTACCACCTTGATCATTCTGTTTACTTGACGCCTAAAATCATAGCATCATTCTCAAAGTTGTTGCTTATAATCAAATATCGTACACAAACTATTTTATAGTAATGGCTATGGAAACTGTAGAAGCAACAACTCCAGAACTTTCTCTTGCTGACACTGACATCAACTGGGATCGGTAATTATTTGTACACACTCATGATATAATTGATAAATGATTTATATTATCTATATGTTGCTTCTGTATTATGATTTGGGTGGCAGTTGCTCTTATTATTCGAAGTTTTTTCGATGATTGGTTATGTTACTAAACTGGGCTTACCCTTTTGATTGCCATTATAGGGTCTGTAGTTTTTTATTTTATTTTTGCCTTGCCGGAGGAAGAAGTGCTATTTTGAATTTCTCCTCTTTTGGATAGTTGATCTTAGGAAAAAGGTGTTTACTTTGCTATGTATCTGAGTTCATTAACTACATAACAGGTAAAAGAATATTGCTATTCGTAGTGAACACTTCCTTTAGTCGTGGCATACAGGTGAGAGTTTGTTAATTGATGCATTGCCGGTAGGCGTCACTGTGAATAGCATTACTCCTTGTAAAATCACAACTATTGGACGAATCTAGAAATTATCATGAAAAACGAAATTGGTGTGACTTTGATAGTTGCTATAACAAAGTACCTTCTTTCTTGAATTGGACTATCTAGTTTACCACATGGGTAAGCAGCTGCGTGAGAAAATTTAGAGTTGCTGAACTGTTAGATTGCTTGCTCGCTTTATAAAATCCATTTAAAACTAGAAGTTAGGGTTACTTTTTTTGTAGCTGATGTAGATGGTTGAATTTTCTTGTCATGAAGGGCTCAATGTGTAGTGTACTTTTTCTTCTCCTTCTGTAAATCTGTGACTTGAGGGCAGACTTTCAGGGAGATTAGTTTCTCGTTAAGGATTTGTTTAATACTACCGTTCTTGTCATTCTCTTAATAAAATATGCTCAATATTGTGATGACTATATAATATTTGGTGTCCTGAATCTGATGGTCTGGTTAATTGACTCAATTGTAGGTTGGATAAGACAAGGTTCCATGTAATTGGGGCTATTTTATTCACTGTTCAGTCTGCTTTAATACATCCAACAGCAGTCGTGAAGACGAGGATGCAAGTAGCTGGTTCTGGGCTTTCTCAAATGACTGGATTATCAGTTTTCAGTCGCATTGTCAGGACTGATGGCATTCCTGGTATTTTTAGAGGCTTTGGCACATCTGCCATTGGATCATTGCCTGGTCGAGTCCTGGCTTTGACTTCACTTGAAGTGTCAAAGGATATGACGCTCAAATATACGGAAAACATGAATATGCCGGAGGCAACTCGTGTCGGCATTGCAAATGGTGTTGCAGGAATGATCTCCAATTTAGTTTCCTGCTTATACTTTGTGCCTTTGGACGTGGTGGGTATTCTAATTATTTCATACCCTTCTAGAGAATGCATATTGGTATTCCTCAAAGTTTTACTTATTTTTGTGATGTGTGAGAATTTATTTTTTTATTTTATTTTTTTTGTGTGTGTCTGATCTTTTAAGAATCTCCAAAAACTATGTCTTGTAGTTTTGAAAAGCTGCTGGTTCTTAAGAATTCATCAAGTGTTTGTAGCACAGTCCCTAAGTTCTTTTTCCCAAGCGCATCTAAAAAATTGCCTAATATTTGATGCACTGATGGCTCTTTAAACTGCTAGGTGTGAAAGAAGAGTGTCACCCACTGTTTGGGTAATATGGAGGAAAGAAAAAGTAAAATCTTTTTAAGGAAAAGAGAAACTTATTTATGAATTATGGGAAAAAAGGTAAAATTTCTCGCATCATTATATGCCTGTACATCTAAGGGATTCTAATGTTGTTCCGGTTCCAATTATTGTTCTCAATTGGTAAATAGTAGTTTTGTCTTGATTTTAGTTTAGTGGATATCTCCGCAAATTTTACCCAGGGTCCTTCAATCAATAAATTGTTATTTCTCCTCAAGAAAGAAGTGGGTTTGATGTCATGGTGTGATGGTGAAAAATGCATGTAATAGTGGACGTGTTTGTTAGTGCGTAGGATCGATTATAACTGGAAATGAATCCTCAAGTCTCCTGCAACCTGTCTTTTTTTCACTATTATATGAGATCTATGCATTACAACACTCTCTGAATTACTGTCATATATTTACTTTTTGATTCATGCTTCTGAATTGCATAATCTTGTTTATCCAGATCTGCCAAAGGTTAATGGTTCAAGGGCTTCCAGGGAGTACGCCTTGCAGTGGCCCATTTGATGTTGTACGCAAAGTACTAGCAGCTGAGGGGTTCCGTGGCATGTATAGAGGTTTTGGATTAACAGCCATTACCCAATCCCCTGCTTCAGCACTTTGGTGGGGTGCCTATGGTGCTGCCCAACACATCATTTGGAGGTATATCTGTTATCTTGTGTTAAGAGCCATTCTTCGTGCTTTATTTGTTGTCTCTAGGATATTTTAGCCATTTGTGTCAAGTTCATTTGGGCATCCATTATTGGCAATACATCTTTCTGATGCTAGCTTTCTCTATGTCATCTTGGTTATGACCATAGGAGCGTGGGCTACAAAGATGATTCAGAAAAGAAACCATCTCATGTAGAAATGATCACTGTTCAAGCTACAGCAGGAATGACTGCTGGTGCTTGTTCTTCAATTATTACTACTCCCATAGATACCGTAAAGACGAGATTACAGGTAATGAAATTCACAATAATATTGTCTGCTTTCTTTTCTCATCCCCACTAAAAGGGGAAAATTACTACTAATGTTTACATTGTATCTTCATTGATCTAGGTTATTGATGATTATGGTGTTGGAAGACCTTCTGTAATGAAGACTGCAAAGACACTTCTTAAAGAAGATGGATGGAGAGGCTTCTACAGAGGATTTGGACCCCGGTTTCTAAATATGTCACTCTATGGGACTACAATGATTGTTACTTATGAATTGATAAGTATGTTGATATCTTTGTCGTTCATTAGTGCAGAGGCAGATGTTGGCAGTTCGTTTTTGAATTCTTGAGCAGTAGTTTGCCATTTAGATCTCTTGAATGTAAAAACCGACACACGCTCACCTCCACTTGCAAAAATGATGATATTGACTGAATTTTTATATTCTCTCATTAATATATCCCCCCAGCACCTCCTGCTCCCACAACTCTTGCTTCCAAAATATTAATCAGTATAATTAAACTAGTCGTACATTCCTAGTGTATATTAAGTTTGACATTGTGTGATGTGTAGAAAACTGTGCCATTGATTAAAATGAGTGTTGCTAAAATCAATGACCATGATTTCTGCCGTGTTAAACAGTGTCAAACTTAATGTCTACCACAATGTACACGTAGTAGAACTCTAATCAGTACAGTTGGTATTGAGTGTTATCGGATTTTCTTGGCCAGTATTTGCTTGTACTGATAGTCTGTCCTTATTTTGATTCTATGTTTTTCACTAGTTTATTCTCCCTACTTAGACATTGTTAATTTCTTATTTTCTTTCTTATCAGAGAGATTGTCTGTGAAGCAAGCTTGATGAGCAAGGAGGCTGTAACTCTACAATTTTGTGAATCAGAGGCAACGCGTGCAAATCAATCATCACTATACTTCTGTGGAGTAGAGCCGTAGATGAGATAGAAGGTGCTGCCCATAACTAGAACATAATGGGTTTGGAGAATTATTTTTTCATTTTCTATTTTAAAATTAATTCCCTTCTCAGTTGATTAGATGAGAATGTGTTTTGTCCTAGAGTTCAATATGACCTTATGCTAATAGGCTGCCATTGAGTTTAACACCAAAGTGCATATAGTGTTCCATTCTGAATTCGAGCACAAAATCTGCTTATGTTTTAGAGTATACTTGCTAGAGAAAATGGAGTTTTCGAACAATTTAGTGGTCTGGCTGGGGACAGAGACGGACAACATGGGATCATCTTTCTGTTATCAAGAATACGTGATTTCTTGTGCCTTATTGAATAGGACGATGCACTACCATGCTGGTCAATGGCTTGTCTAGTTTTTTTCTTCCTTCTATCTATTCACCTGTTCTATTTTTGAAGGTTTAAAGTCATTTGGTCGGAGTGGCTGGATCCTTGCATCAAAATTTAACACTAAATAACCAATTTTCTTTTAGGCCAACAATAACCAGCTTTCATAAGCATGTTTGGAAAATATTTATATATGGTTTAAAGTTTTACTAGATAGAAATGAGCGAGGTGAACATGTAGTACTCGTGGATTTCACTAAATGTGTGTAAAAAGCGGTTTGAACACATTGTCATAACCTTCACTTCATGCTTGCGTACCACTTTAGTACCACAACAAGTGTTCTAAAAAATCCGTTTAAGCAGAGCCTAGGCTCCACCTAGGCGCAAGACTAATGTCAGGCCTTGACAATGAGCACTACTATTAAATTCTTTCTTTTTTATTTTTTCCCCCTCTTTTAAAAGTTTTTTACTTGACCTTGGTTTCACATTCTTAAATGATTTTATCTGCACAAAAGTAAAAAAATGAAAACGTTAGAAAATTTTAAGTAGAATCTATCTAATTGAAAGTCAAAAGTTGAAACTATAAAAAATAGTCTAGTCTTTACATTTCAAAACTTGAAAATTGGATAATTGACTGATGTGAGAATTATTAAGTAAATATAATATTTTATAATTTTAGATGTTTGTTATATATCATTTTATTATTTAAATAATTAAAAATATTAATATTAAAAATTATAAAAACACCTTTTTTATGCCTACGTCTCGCCTAAACTCGCATAGGCTTGTAAAGCTTGAAAATTGGTCACCATGCCTAGTGTGAATTGCAATGCTGTTATTCCTTCTGGACGTAGGTGTCAGGAGAAAAATTGAAGTTTTATAACGTTTAGTTACGCTTTATACTTTTTTAAAAAACTGACCACAACCATTTGTTACAAGAGTTACAAGGACAGCATCCACATTTAGCAATTTTTACTCAACACCTAAGACAGGAAGGAATAACAGAATTGCCATTCACATTATGCAGAATCCTGGCCAACTGGTACTCAAAATAAATAACCCGCCGAATCCTGCACCAGCCTGTTAACCAATACAAACGAAGCAACATGAAAAAACCAGTATTAATCAATTACAGCTTCCAACATTTCACTCCTTTTTTCAACATGTGGATCCCATATATGTTAAAACGGTCAAAAAAGCACCCTGATATTGAACCACTTGCAGTGAGCCGTTGATTAATTCCTCTTTCTTCCTTTAATCATCAAAAGTAGCAGAGTTTGGCGAAAGCAATCGCTCTTTGTTCTTCTTACTATGCACATTGAAATTTTCAATTCTTTTTGGTTTCTCAAGAACAGCAACGGTAAATGGCCACTCCAAAACAGCCCTTCTTCAACTTCAACATATTAATCTTGTTTCTATTCCTTGAACCATTGCAAGTTCATTCTGTATGCAGAAATTTCTGCAACAACATTCCTATAAAATACCCTTTTGGTGTAGACGACGGCTGCGGTGCTCCACAGTTCCGGCACATGCTGAATTGCACGACCGACCTTTTTTTCATCACCCCGTCCGGAAATTACAAGGTGCAGTCGATAGACTACAACAAAAAATCCATGGTCATTTTCGATCCAGCCATGTCTACTTGCTCAATATTACAACCACATCATGACTTTGTAATGACAGATATTCAATCTGTCACTATCCCTCCTTCGCCCGATACCATATTTGTTCTCCTGAATTGCTCCATTGATTCACCTGTGCTGAACCATTACAAGTCCCTTTGCTTCAACTTTTCAGGCCATTCTTGTGACGAACTCTACGGCTCGTGTACTGCTTTCAAATTGTTTCATCTTCTGTCGAATAGCACTCCTCCGTGCTGTTTTACATCGTACAATACGGTGAAGTTCATGAGCATGAATATATTGGATTGCTCGCATTACACTAGTGTGTACAATGTGGATAGTTTGAAGGGTGTTGGACCGTTAGATTGGCTTTACGGAATTAAACTGTCGTATAGCGTCCCGGACACTGGTTGTGATCGATGTGTGAAAACCGGTGGGATGTGCGGTTTTGATGTCGAAACTGAAGGGATGGTCTGCATTTGCTCAGCCTCCAACAACTCTACTATACAGTGTGGTAAGAATTTTCTACTGTATAAACTACAAACTCCAGCTTGTTCTAAATTAAATTCGATCAATTACTCACAAGTGAGTTATATTTCATGCTTCAGGTGCAGGGATTGGTATGAACACAGGCATGAGTCTCAGACAATCCTCATTGCTACTTGAGTCTTTTATGGTTATTGTACTCGTTTTTCATTTAACTTTATTGTGAGCCTATGGAATTTTGATCAGAATTATCTACACTTCTTTGTTTTAACTCCTACACGCTGCAAAACACTTACTAGTTCTAAGAATAAAAAGTAGTCTAGACAGTCACTGAACATGTTTTTCTAATCCCAGAGGCCCACAAATTATGTTGACAAAAATGTTTTTATTCTGACACACAACAAAATCAAATCCTCGATATTCCACGCAGGGCGGATCTAGGCACGGGCTAGCCCGAACTACAGCCGTGCTCGCCCTAGCCCAAATCCACTAAGTTCTTAATTTTTATTTTTTTTAACCTGAGCCCATATCTATTTAATCATCATCCCGTGTCCAACCAAAACAATATTAGCCCAACTACTTAAGCCCAAATCAAAGTTTACGACCCCCCAAAAAAAGAGAGAATTATTGGCTCAAAGCTCCAAATCCATACCTAATATCCATCTAATCTCCCTCTACACGCTACAACCCCGTGATCCAATTTCTTTCAACGTTTCAATCTCCAACTCGCCTCTCTCATTCCCCCGTAAAGCTTCTGAAAAATTAAGGAAAAATCCCCTTACCTCAACTGTAGCTGGCACTGGAATGGGGTTAAATTGTTCAAGTCTTGGAGGATTGACTGATGTTCCACTGGAATTCTAAAGTCTGAATATTTTTAAGGTTCTGGGTTCCAAATATAACGGAAATGGGAAAACCAGAATGGGAATTTGGACCTTTGGTTGGGTGGGTAAATAAACAAATGTAATTAGCTATATACCTTCTTTGTATATCTTAAGCAGCATTGTGTTGTTTTTGAAATAAAAGTTAATATATTTTGAATTTTTCTTTGAATCCATTTCTCAATGTTTTTTAGAGTCGAAGGGAAATTTTTAATGCAATCCCCTTAGTTAATTAGAGTTGTGGAGTAAAAGTTTATTCTAATGCAGAATTCCTCTTCATTGTCAACCGACGCCATTGAGTCATTTTCGAATTTGAAAGGTGTAATATATTTTTGAATGTGTAGACGCAGACGTGCAGTATGTTTTCATTCTAATGTAGAATTCCTCTTCATTGTCAAACTAGCTTGTATGGTGGTCACATATATTTTTGTATTATGTCAATTTTTTAGCCCATGGGCCCAAAAAATCTGGATCCGCCCTTGATTCCATGTGATTCAAGGAGTGTTTTGATACCTAGATTTCTAGCATTCATGAGTGAATCGACGAAAACTAGAAGATTGTTCGTTAATTCCATTTTCTCATAGTTCCATAGGTGCTACTGTATGTCGGTGTGCTAGTAAATTAACCTTTTATCAAGGAGCCTTTCCTGCATAATTGTCTCATTCTCTTCAAGAAAGTTTTGATCGCAAAAGGTTCCTGCTAGTTCTAGCGCCTCGTAGAGGATCTGGTGCTGGGATCAGTGCCGTACCTGTGTTTCGCGGAGCCTGAGGCGAGATTCAGAATTTGGGCCCCTACTTCATAGCAAACAATGATTTTTTTTTTTCATATTATTTATAAGAGTTTTAAGGAACTAAATTTTTAACATAAAATCCATAATAAAGCAACAAATAAAAATGAAATTCAAAATATTTATATTATAATCAAATACCAATACAAAGATGTATAAGAAAATGTTCTAAACCATCACTTAAATACAACTCGTTTTGCGGTTTTTGAGGAAAAAATATCAATCAATTTTGTATAGTCGAGTTGTTTAACCATTTCTTTTTCAATGGACAACATAGCTAATCCATTCAATCTTTGCTGTGACATGGTTGATTGAATATAAGTCTTGATCAATTTCAATTTGAAGAAACTTCTTTCTGCTGATGTAATTGAAATCGGTATAGTGAGCAAAATCTTGTAAGCAATGCAAGCATTCGGAAAACAACCATTCATTTTCTTCAAGTAATTTAGCACATCAATTGCTCTTTTTATTTTTCCAGGTAAATATCACTTCAAAACTAACAACTCCGTACATAAGTCATCACCAATAATGTCTGAATGTCCATTATGGCTCAAATATTGCTCAAGATTCTTACAAGATTTCAACAAACGGTTAACATCCATACTCTTTAATCTCTCCGAATTAAACAAAAATCCAAATGTCTCTTCATAATGTTTAAATTGTTCAAACTGAGTTTGAAGTGAAGATCGAGCTTGGTCAATTATAAAGAGAAAATAATCAACTCGAAAAAATTCTTCAGCTGATAGTGTTACCTCTTCACTGCCATTTTCATCAAACTGCATCTTTCTTCGAATATTACGTTTCTCTCGAAAAACAGCTTCAATTCCCATTTCAACTGCTATTTGTTTAGCTTCATCCATGGCACTGGCAAATCCAGATTCTCTATAATTTTCGAGAAACAAAATAAGTGCTTCTAAAAGCTTGATGGCTACATCAATATCCATATTTTCTGCTTGAAAAAATTTACTTACAGTATTGAAAGCATGCAATAACTTATACCAAATGACCATACCAAGTAAGAACTCAAAATTTTCAAGTTCATATGTTGCTAATGACTCAGCTTCACTCTTTGTTTTAGGATCTTCAACAATGTTTGCTAAGTCAAGTAAGGCGTCTCTTATTTGTATAGATTGCTCTTTTATAGGTTTGACACTTTCCACATGACTTTCCCAACGTGTTTGGGACAATGGCTTAAGTGTGAGACCTTCAATCTTATATTTAAAAATTTTCCATTGTTTGGGAGAAGAAGAGAACACTGTATAGATGCGTTATATCACTCCAAAGAATGACATAGCTTTAGAACAACAATTTTTCATGTCACATAATGCTAGATTCAGGCTATGACAACCACATGGAGTATAGAAAGCTCTAGGATTTATTTCAAGTAACCTTTTTTGTACACCTTTATGTCTCCTGCTCATGTTAGCTCCATTATCATACCCTTGACCTCTTCTATTGTCAACATCAAGGTCAAGATTCGTTAACACATTTGTAAGTTCAGTAAAAAGTCCCAGTCCTGATGTATTGTCCACTTTCAAAAATTCAATCCAATATTCTTGTACCATCGAAGAGTCCATTGATTCATCCACACATCGTATTACCAGAGACATTTGCTCCTCATGACTCGCATCTGGAGTACAATCAAGTATGACAGAAAAATATTTTGCATGTTTATGACAGAAAAATATTTTGCATGTTTTACTTTTGTGACAATTGCACTTCTCACCTCGCCTGCCAAAGTTTGTATCAATTCATTTTGAATTTTAGGACCAAGATATGTATACTGAATCTCACGTGCTTGAGCACGTCGAATGTTTTCTCTTATTATTGGATCAAATTCAGCAACCATTTCTATTATTTGCAAAAAAAGTCCATTGTTCTCCACGTAAAGTTGCTCACAATCTCGGCGAAATGCCAAAATATTTTTAGCAAGTCGTTTAATAGCAATTATCCTCGTTAGTACTTGTCTCCAATGCTCTCTTTCTTTGTTGATGGCCAATTGTATGTCTATTTTCTAGTTCCATCCAACTAGTCATGGAGCCTATATGCTCCTTAGACTCTTCATGATTTGTAAGGCGACGATGCATATTATGCCAATCTTTATATCCCTCGTTACCCAATTGACCAATACTTTTCATCGTTCTTTCTGTTTTAAACAACTTGCAGCAAAAACAAAATATCTTGTCTAAAGAAATGGAATACACAATCAGTTATCTGCCCATTTGCAAGTAGCCGCTTATAGTGTGACGATTCAAAATGTCTACCTTGACTATCTTTGGGAAACAAGATGCCATCAACTCTTTTTGGACCTATTTCAACTAAAAAGTCCCTCGTCTTTTGATCAATGTGGATGTCCTTCCAATTTCCGGGATCTTCAAAATTTAAAGAAAAACAATTCTCTTGATTTAAATCTTCATGTTGAATATTATCTGCCTCATTTTGCTTTGATTCATCCACATTGGCAGGTTCAATCATTTCCTCGTTCTCTTTCCGTTCATCCACATTGTCATTATCATTCTGATCTGTTGTTTCTCAATCAATAATTTTTCTGGTGTTCCTTCCTTCTCTTTTTGTTTCTTGTTATTAAAGTACTTCTCCATATCTCCAGTCTGGCTTCGAATTAATGCCTCTACTCTTTCTCTCTTTTTCTTTTTTTGAGCTCTAGATGCATATTTAAGAGCCATGGTATTTGATTCAAGTCATTCAACAACTATCAATAACCTGCAAGGATCCCAAAGTGGTCCAAAAATATTAGTACATTAATATTGTCTAATGTGATTATTAAACTAGAGCTCAACTAAAAATTTAGATTTATTACAATTTGAATGAGTGGATGTGGGAAAAACAGGCCCTTTTGAAAATGGAATGAGGCAAGAAATTCTACATTTCTACCCTTCCCAAATATAGAAAATCCAGTTGCAAATCATGCCATCTGAATTTGCCCCACCAAGATACGAGTCAGGGCTTCTCCAGTTCTCCATACCTGACCCAACTCAACAAACTTATCATCACACTATCAGCCTATCACAATTCACAGCCAGTAGCCTACGAGGAAAGGAACGCAAAAGCAGAAACTAAAGTATAAAGGTTCAGCCGTTTAGTTGAAACAAAAACCTGAATTTGCCCTACCAAGATACGAGTCAGGGCTTCTCCAGTTCTCCATACCCGACCTCACTCAACAAACTTATCATCATTCATCACACTACCGGTCTATCACAATTCACAGCCAGTAGCCTACGAGAAAAGGAACGCGAAAGCAGAAACTAAAGCCTAAAGGTTCAGTTGAAATAAAAGAGCATCTGAGCATGTATGGCTAAGCTTATAATTTACTTATAAGCTTCATTTTCTCTTAATGCATAGCATAATAGCATTACTCATATGAATTGATGAAGATGAGAAAATAAAAAAGAGTTGTTTCAGCAAGCGCTAGCGCAGGCATAGTCGCACAGGCAAAGTCGCAAATCCGCCAAATCACAATGTGAAATAAATTAAATAATTACAAGTAACTGCCGGCACTGTAGAATGAGAAAGGGTTAAACTTAACTGGTTAAGGGTTGTTGATTTTCTGAAATCATTGGCGAGAAGAGAGCCGTCAACCGTGCCTCAGGGCTGTAGCCGCCCGGCGCCGACCGGTTGCGGCCTCGCCTTTGCACTTTCCTCTTTTAGAAGGGCTTTGATTTTTGAATTTTGCAGGGACGCAGGGTAAGTGGTGGACGGTGGTCTCCGTCTCCCGACTGCCATCTCTATTAAAAAGAAGAATAAAAAAAAAATGAAAGGGAAAAATTTTGGGCCCCCTAAAAATCTGGGCCTGAGGCAGAGGCCTCTTGGGCCTCTCATCAGGTCCGGCCCTGGCTGAGATCATGCATATCTGGTGCTAACGTGGCTTGAGAACCTTGTCAAGGAGAACAAGAAGAAGTCTACATTAAAGCTATCACGACTCGAGATGAATTCCTTGGCTCAGCTTGGGAGCACAAGGCCCTAAATCATGTTAGCTGAACTAAATTGTTTGTGAAGTGTTTATAAATAAATAGAAATAAGTAATGGAAAAGTGAGTTGTACTTAAGTTCTACGAAAGGTGTAGATAGAAAGTGATTTAATCAAAAGTGTATAACTTATACCGTTCATAAACACTTCCCAAACATAACCTTCATATAGATTCATAGGTATTACCAGCTCATCTCTGTTCAATATCTTAGGTGAAAAAGTAAGAATTTTTTTTTTTGAATAATGCTACTTGTACATCAAATAGTGTCCACCCCCTCATGACCTACTTTAGATAAATCATATTGTATTCCAAATGGGTCCCCCTCCAAGTGAGGAAGGTGGACATCCTGATGTACACGTAACATTATTCAAAAACTTGAGTTCTCAAATATGATATTCACCAAACACATATATTTTTATAAGTTAGATAATTTGAAACAAAAATAGCATAGCATAGTTGATACATCATACACGTCTAAACACTTCAAACATTATTAGTATGAGGTAGATCATGGGAGAAAATAAAATCAGAAAAAGGTGACGATGCTGGAAATTTGGTTTTAATAAATTGATTTGACCAACTTTGACCAATTATTTAAGACCCGTCATAGAGATTTCACACGAATAACCATCGCAGTGTTACTTGATTATTTCTCAATAGTGATTATGAAATTGATCCTTCAACTTGAGATCATTATAAAACCTTAGGTATAAATCGCCATACTATAGTGATATTGAATGCTAATACAATATTAATTAGATATGACAGAATTACATGAGAATTGTTGGATGATCAAAAATGTATTTATCATTCTTAGGTAATAAGAGATTGTATTGTGACATTAGTACACTTGAGTAATGATGCCGTGAATCCTTGACATTGGTGGAGTTGTGATTTGAAAGTGGTTTCAAATATACCTCGATAAATCAATAGCTCAAAGTCATGAAGAACATAATTGGAAATGAGATTAGCACTTATTTCACATGAATCATATCTTTCAACCAATTGGAATTTGAATGATAATCCATATTGTTTGACACCGTGATTGTGCCAGTGGGTCACACAAAAATGAGATTTTGAACAAATAATTAAAATAATGATGTTGGGTAGCATAATTATAGGCTACATCAACAAGTAGATTAATTAATGTGGAAATTTCACAATGTGCTCCTTTTTATTAAAATATTTCAAGAGTTCTCTTAATTTCCCCGGATTTTTCCTCTCGAAACCCTCATTTTTTTCCCCCAATAATGCTACAAGGACAAGTTCAAAAACAGGGTAAAAAATAGAGTAGACACGTGTCGAAACATAATTAGACACTTTGAAAAATTAAAGAAAAAAATAGCCAACCACTTTCTACCAAATCAGCCTGTTTCTAAGTCCCTTTTTTAGCCTATTTGATTGGCTTTATTCTTTTCTTTTAAAAAAATAGATAAATTCAAATCCCGAATTTTTTGCAGTGCATTGACCTATTTATAAGATATTGATAAGGGTACTTTAGTCATTTTAATGCTCGGGCATTTTTTATTATCTTGTTGGACATCATGACTAAGTTCTCATTGTCAAAGTTCATTGATATTTATGTTTTTGTGTCATTTATCCAGAAAAACTCTGTTTCATATGAAGGCATGATGCATTAAAATCAACTTTATGATATTTTGAATCAACTCGAAATTAATTGGGAAAAGATTCTTTTTAGAAGTGTTAAGTGCGGTAGCCGAGCAGCGAAGGCTTGCACGAGTTGACTCATGAGCTCGCTCGTTATATTGAGTGAAAAGCACTTTTCAATTTTTTTAAAAAAAAAATGAAAAATTAGTGAGTGGGTGTGCCACACTTTAGTAAAGCAAGCCGTCAAAACATGACGAGCTGTGTCAGGTAGTAAACGAGTTGAATGCCTCTACTCGCTCCATTAAATACCCCTACTTCACTAATATTATCTAAAAATACATAAATTTCCTTTCTATCTTTCTAATTTGGCTTAAAGAAAATCGAGAACCATTTTGAGTTATAAACTATTTTATTTTTTATCTTAAAATATGCAAAAATCTGTGAATTACTGATAATTTTTTAAAGTCACGCTTTCGTATATGTGATGTATGCTACTAGCTAGCTAGCAAGAACTTGACGATCCTCGATCAGTACTAGTCGTTGGTTTCAATTCATCTCTTCTTGTAATTGTAATTGTAATTGTAATTGTAATCGTAATTATTGTGGCTAGTGTTACATGTACAACTTTGCGAAATGGATTTCTCTATGAGGTGGCTGCAACGGGGGCTCTACAAAGTGGACAAGTTGAATGGGATTGAAGCCAATGTCGAATACAATCTACGTGAAACACATGCTTGCATGCTGTCACTTGAAGCAACTCCTCTTTTATCTCAAATTCTCCTAAGCACACACAACACCTGCAATTATAATTATAATTCCAAATTTAAATTCATCTTATTTATAACATCATTCAATATATTCAGTTATTCTCTTTAACTTTCATGAGAAACATAGAATAAAAGAATAATAATTCGCTCAAAAACAACTTGAGAAAGAGTGGACGCTGTTAGAGATTCTAACGAACTATACCAAGCAAATATTTATGTGGATAGAATTAAGCACTTTTTAGCCAATTTAATTAATTACAATCATGTAGAACCTTGGCAAGGTTATAGAGTTTGACTTAAAAAAAGTATTGAGGCTGTTTAGGAGTGATTTTGAGAATTGATTTTTGACCGTTAGAAGAAAAGTGGAGTCCACCTGTGAGAGAAGAAGTTAAATATGACGGATGAAATAGTGAAATAACGGTCAAATCAATTTTTTGGGTGAAAAAATCGGGCCCAAACAGGCCCATTATTTATCCCTTGTTTGAGCTTTATTGTTTGGAAAAAAATGCATTTTTAAACAGTAAATTTAAAATCATTTCAACCATAGAGTTTTTAATAAAATAATATTACTCACAAATTCAAAACTTTTTCTTTTTTTTAACCAACGATATTTTTCCCCGTCCGCAATCTAACATTCTTTCCCGTTACAACATAATATGGATGGACGTATGTTGAAAAGGGAATATCGTCTAAACTAGTATAACACTTTGACCACAAATGAGTCACAATTAATTAGTAACAAGAGAATCCCGATATGTAATAATAGATGAACGATCAAGTGTGACAGGCTAAGAATAAGATATATTCATGTCGTGCAAGTGGAAGAGGTTCAACGCTGCGAAAGCTACTACAAACCATCATTGTACAAAAGAAAATAAACTAGTGTATGGCCTTTAATTGGGCTTAGGGACATGTCCTTTTCTGGGGCACTTTTAGGTCTCAAATTTTCAACAGTAATCAACCTGAATCGTTCGTTTCCATTCTACAATATATTTATGATCAATGCACTAGCACATGATTGATTTATCCATATCGAAACAAATTTCACTTTTAACGATGTTAAATTTGATCGTTAAAAGTCATTTTTGAGTTGTTTGGTTGAGAACTTACAGTGAATCCCTTGCTTTTAGATATTCATCAAACAAGATTGTGGAAAGCTGGTTTTTCAGCTCTGCTTTCAAATCTGAATCAAATGACTGGACATGAAACAAGACAATCATCAGTTGAAACATAGTATATATTAAGAGCATACAAAGGTTATACGTTCAAGTTTCGCCTCTAAGGTTGCATATTAAAGACTAAATCAAATACTTACAACTTTTAAATGAGCTTTATAAAATAAGATTCACGATGGAAGGGGTGGTTCTTACTGTTGTAACGTTAGGCGCGGCATCGTGAATAGTCCTCGGGAGAACCGGTGGATTTGCCGAGAAGTTCGAAGCCCTTCTCTTGAGGTAGAACAAGTAGAATAACAGAAATAGAATGATGGAGCAGAGTATAGGAATTGAGAATATAAAAGCCTGGTAAAGCCTAAGTTGAATTGCTTGGGGATATTGATGAGAAGGACTTGAAGATTGAGGACCCTCCATCAATTAATCGCAAGGATACAAACCCAAAATTCAGTTTGATGTATAACAAGAGAATTTTGTTCAAACTATGTCTTATATTTATGGAGTCTATGATATTCTGTCTGAGTGTGGGGGAGAGAAGATATTTTTGACACTTAAAAGTAAAATAATTTAATGCAACTTTGTAATAAATAAGTAATAATAGGCCTGGAAAGAACTTTTCAAGATCAGGCGATATATTCCTTGTTCTTCCTTTTTGGTGGACGAGACAAGCCCACTAAATATAATGGCCCCAGTAAGCATTCATCCCGATCTCCTTCAAAATCTCCTCACAATGCTCATGACATAGATAATAATTGGTTTGCCTAGTCTAGAGAGTATAGGTCATTTGTGTCACGAGAGAATGGATTGTGCAGAATGCAAGAGGGAGATTGACTTGACCCACTAGTCGAGCAATGAGGAAAGTTTGGCTTAGTACCGTACGGTACCGAGTAGAAGGGTCATCACTCAATTGAGTAGCAGGAGAATTGATAAGTAGGTTCAATGCAAGGATGAAAGACAATCTCAGTGACGTGAAGGTACCGAGTAGAAGGGAAATTGGGCAGTAAGACAAATATTAGAGAGGTGGGATCAAATCAACTTTAGCCACTTGACACGTTTCTGAATTATAAAGATTACACTTTTTTTCATGATAACTGTGTAAAGCACACTCCACATAGCTAATAATATCACCTTGAGTAAGTAGTCATGGAAAGCTTTTACTGTCTGTTGTTGCATTGTCTCATTAGGGACTAGTATTTCTCAATTTTGTTCATTGGCCATTTTTATTTATAGTCTATTTATAGCCGAATTTGCTTAGCTAATTCCACTAGCTTAATTAAGTTGTTCTAATTATTGAAATATTGTGCCCAGCAGTCCAATTCACAGGGATTAATAGAATCATGTCATGTAAGATGATGGCTCGTTTGAGTACATTCATCTTGGAATTTGTGTATTCATTTTGAATCTTCGTCGAAATGAGCTTTTAATTTAAGTTTAATGGGTTCTAATAGTATATTAAGTGTTGAGGTTATATTTTTAGAAGGAACTGTCCAAGTTCTTATATTTTTATTTATTTTATATATATTCAACGTTGTAAATATCCTTTCACAGATTCAACCACTAAAAGGAAGATGGACTCTTTGGGTTCTCTCCTTTCTTCAAATGGATGAAAAGGGCCTTACTTGATACTGCTTGCTGTCTCGATAATTCAACGATTAAAAAGAAGTAAAAAACATCAAATCCCATTAACACTACTCATTTACGAGAGATATTTTGCTTGGACTACGTGTCGAATTGATAAATAATACATGTATATGCGTGTTTCTATAGATGTAGGTATACACATATATGCTTACACAATAGACCACTTTCATGGTTTCTATATCCTAGATGTTGATTAATGATGATGGTTGGTACTAATGATATTGCAGGTGTGACATGAAAGAGACAGACATCGAGCTGAGTATTTTGCTAAAGATCTCACAATCTTTGTCCACTAAACCCTAAACGTGTTTATTTAATTAAAAAAAGGTGCCCGCTTTTGTTTTTCACCAATATCCTAAGACTCGTTTGCAGTAAAATACTTGCAAATGGAAGAAATCAACTTTAGAATTCACTTGTACACTTAAATATCTGCAGTGTACAAACAAGTATAAAAATATACATATGTTATTTGTGCACCAATAAAGAATGTTGGTCCCATTAGCACTTCAAAAACCCACTTGTTATTGCTCTCTTCTTGATCAGTTGGTTATGATGTGCAATTGGTATATGAACAGTACAGATTAGAACTCATCATTTAGTTGAGGAGGCCAAGTTAGGCTGGTTTTGAATCAATTTTGTTATGCAATCACTCTTGGCCCCGTTGACACAATGAACCCCAGTTTGATCGTCAGGATGACTTTTGACAACAAGTTGAGGTCTTTCGTTCTCCGTGATAATGTGACTTATCATCTATTTTTTTCAGGCCTTGGGGGTAAACATAAGAGATTTGTACAACACATTTAAGGCTTTCTTGGTAGTGTTTTTTGTTTTTTTGTTTTTGGCTGTTTCTGGTTAGCATCGTTTATGACAGGTTGAAAAATTGTTCTTATTAGTTTTCTGGAGCATTGATGTTGGGAGGTTTTTTAGTGTTGTAACTTGGAGTGCATTTCTTGTTGTCATTCTTCAATGTTATTAAAAAAAAAAAAAAATACTTTGTAAATAAAATTTTTACTTCTAAGTAAAAAACTTACATGTAAGATAAAAACTCACTTTTATGTTAAAAAATTATTTATAAAATTAAAAAAATACTACGAAGAAGATAACTTTATTTAATAAAATATAAAAAGTTACTTATAATTAAAAAATTGCTTATAATTGTAAAATTTATTAAGGGTCCATTTGATTGCCAATATTTTTCAAGAAAAATGTGATTTTTCCATCCAAGTTCCTATTTTTGTACTCTTTGTTTACTATTTTTTCCATAAAAAAATATTTTCTTACTTTTAGTCACGTGATCATATTTTTCTCAAAATCAAGGAAAATATTTTCTAAGAGTAATATTTTATCTTTTAGGGAATTCATACTCTCTCTCTCTCTCTCATCTATACTCTCCCTTTCATCTACCCAACAATAAAAAAGGACAATTATACTATTTTTTAGATTAAAAATTAAATCAATTAAACACATTTAATTGACATTTTTCATCCAAATAAGTTTTATACAATTGAATTATCTAGAATTTATTTTCTTTACGCACCCTAATAGCTATAAATATTTATAATTGAAAATTTTATTATTAGTAAATATTTCAATTTTTGTTCACTTATATGTAAAGAAATAAAAAATAAAATTCATATAAGGAATAATAAATTGAAAATTTCATTAAGGACATATACATAATTTTATTTAAAAAAAAAAAACTTCAAAACTTTCATGGGTTAGATTGTTTTAAAATCGCTACTTAAAAAAAAAAAAAAATAATAAATAAATAATCCCTTGTAAACGTTCAAAATCAATCCTTCAAAAAACCCCATAATAGGTACCCAAAACTCCCAAAGGCCCTTTGGATGTCATAGGTGTGCACGTATATTTTTGATTGGTCAAACCTTCCGATCAAATTCATCAACGGTTAGTTTTGGCTGAGCCTGTCTAAAATTATAGGTTTTATTTTGTACTTCAGGATACTTTTTGTTTATAATGTGCCAATGCAAACATGACCACCTTATAACTCAGTGTTTGTCTAGGATTTTTCAGTCGTGAAGATAATGAGGTTGGATCATTTTTGCCCTTCTTGTAAAGAAAATCTTCTAGCTTTAATGCTATCGAAGCTTGAACTACTTTGTTAATCTTACTTTAATTTTTCAACGCGAAGTGTGTGTTTAGAAGCAACAATTAATTTTGTAAGATTGCAATTAATCTTGGCCTTTTAATTAATTAATTAATTCTATTTTCGTTGAAAAGTTGCGACACACAAGAATTATCCCAATTCTCACTACTAGAATGCGTGGCTTTAGCGATGAAATTTTAGCGATAGTCAAATTCTGTCTCTAATGACGATCGATTTCCAATGGAATAGTTAAATTAACAATGGATAATAAACAATAACTGTTTTTTTAAATTATTTTGCGAACGGGGATATTTAAGTATCGAGGAAGTTCCTTCTGTAAACAAAGAGATGCTATAACTTAATAACGTTAAAGAACCATTGAATGGAGTAACTTCAGAGTTTTCGCTGCATATAGAATACGCTTAATCATCATTGATACAACTATATTTTATTGGCTTGCTGGATTAAAGCCTAGCGATTTCAAAATTTCTTAATCAGCTATGGATCTCATATATGGGCGATGCTCGGAGGAATAAAGCCATTTTTATGCTAGAATTTTACACTCTAGTGTGAGGGGCTGTACACTAAATTGTAATTGATGCTCGAAGATGGTTCGATGGATTTTCTGGTTTTGATTTGATTTGGGGTAGGATGGAATGTTGAAAAAGATGAAGATTCAGGGGTGGGGGCAGGTTTCATTTTTTTCTTTTTGGAGAAATGTAAATTTGTATTTTCACTCTTTTAAAATTAGTCAAAATTGGTCGAAAGAGTTCAATTTTTTTTTTTTTTTTCTAATCAACTGATGAAAATCGTTCATTTGTCCTTGTGATTCAATTAAATTAAAGGTTTAAGACTATAGGTGGCATAAATGAAAGATTTGTGTATAGTATGCAAAAAATAAAAGATTTAAGATTGCAGTTGCAATTATCCCTCTAATACCATGTTATTTGATTTGTTTAAAAATAAGTTAAAATTGCTCAAATAAGCAAGTATATTTTAGTTAATTGTCTCAATAATCAATGAACTCATGAATGTGCCTTTGATTGCTCACTTGAGATTACGACTTTGAGTTTTGGTCACTAAATTTATTCAAACGCTAGACATTATTCATTGGCATAAAATTTGTATAAAACATCCGGAATTGGTAATGTGGCTGACGAAATGTACATGTGACTTCTTGTCATAATGTTGACAAATTGCCATGTAAAAAAGTGTTTTTTATTACTTACTAAACTTGCTCATTATACTTTAGAAAATGTCTTCAATTGCTCATTGAACTTTGAGGTAGACGAATTTTTGTTTCTAAATTTATAAAAATTATGTTGGCGTGTTGTTTGCTATAAATTGTATAGCAAGTGCGAATCGTGTACAAGTAAAAAGTGGACAAATGATTTCTAATTGTCGATCCTACAAGGAATAATTATTCCATTACACTATAGTTAAATTTAATTTTAACAATGAAACAAAATCATTTGAAAATCCAAATTTATTGTGTATCTCTTTGTTAAAATTAAATTTAACTATTGTACAATTGAGTAATCATTCATCATGATATTTGTTGACAACCGAACTCCGATCTAAGTTAAAATAGTTCGTTAAACCCACCTCAAGCAAATGGGAGTTCGGTTCCTTTTCCCAGGTAGGAAAATCCCGCCCTTATCTCAGAAAAATATCATGATTATCCCTTGTCACATCACCCTATCAATCAGACACACTTGCCATAGGTGACATCATCGCCGCCCGGAACAACCAACTCCAAGTCCTCGAACTCCAGCCCCTTATAGGTCATCATTACTTGGTTAACACATTGA